TTTTCGCGGGATCGAACCCGCGACCTCTGTACTACCTGCCTGATATGGACGCGTCACTATCTACTGTACGATTAGATTAGATGGGCGGCGGCGCACGGCACAGCTCGGGCTCCGCTGACACAGCTGCTCTGACTCACCGGCCCCCGGGGCCGCATCAGCATGCTGCGCACGGACCAGCTACGCACGGACCAGCGCGCACAGCCTGCCCTTATCTCCCCATGTATATAAGCCGGCCTCTGCTGCCCTAGGGACCTCAGTTTTGACCTCTTGTCCCTAGGTCAGTAAGCCCCAGTTGTATTCCTTTCTTACCTTACTAACTAATGCATTTACTTGTCCCTAGCCTTAGGTTTGAGCCTAGCTCACCATCGCTTCGGTAAGGATAAGTCGAACACCCCCAGCATTTGGTTTTCCCCTGTCGCTCGACCCTAAGTCGCGACATTAGGTCGAAACTCCCCAACGCTGCCGGCGTTCCAAAACACTCATCTTTCCTCTCCTATAGGTTGGGTGGTGCGCACCCCTACTATACGCTACGATATGTAGATAAGCGTACTATACATCGCCACCACTAAGGGAACGAACTCTTCAGTACCTGCACTTCAGTGGGCGGTACTTGTCCTCATGGACGCGTGGACTAGGTTCCTGCTGCATACTAGCCAAAAGCAGTACTGGGCCCCACGTGAACTGCGAACCCTAGTGTTACCTCGGGTGCCGTAGGTGTAAGCTAGCTTATACGGCCTTTTGTAGCACGTGCACCTCCCTTTCCTCCCCCCCTCACCGTGGCTGACGAATTCTTCGACTGCTCTCGACTAGAGCATGCCTTTGACACCCAGGAGCAGGTCGACGCCTCTTGCGACGATTTAGACAGCAACGGCAACCTAGCCCCCTTCTTCAGCTGTGATCGGCAACCATGCCCTAATTGAACCCCACGGTCCATCACCACCAACGAAGACGAAGGGCGCTACGTGCCAATCCGACGAGTCCAACACCCCAGCGGCCCTGCACTCCGGTACGCTGGCACCTCGAGGTCCACATCTCGCCACGTCACTCCCGTCCCATCCCGACCTGCCTCACCAGGCACCCGCATCCCCCAACCTGTCGCCAGTACAGGTCAAGCACGAGGAGATCCCCATCTCCCTCGAGGAACTGAGGCAGTCGCACAGCCTTCAGCGACCCCTCAAGCGATCCCCCAGTCCTCCCTGGGGCCGCGGCTGGAAAGGCCTCCCAAGACCAAGCCCCGCGACACTCCGCCGCATTCTTGGGCCAGCTCGTCGTCAGCAGTCACTGCCTCGACTTCAGTCCCTGTCCTACATCACCCCGCCTCCGGGCTTCCTCAACCGACTTCACCGCCGTCGCCGCCGCGAGGCCGCTCAAGCACCCGTTCCTCGAGAAGTCTGCCCGGCAGACAGTCACAACAGTCGCCTTCGTCCGCGGGCAGTCCTTCGTCGCCCTCGTCGCCAATAATGTCCTCTCCTGCTGCCGTCCCTGATAAGGAGACGTTGAAACTCCTCCTCCCGCTCCGCTACAATGGCAAGACCGTCATCGAATGTAACCGGTTCCTGTCGCAGCTGCGCATCTACTGGCTGATCAACACGTCATTGACCACCATCGAACTCAAGGTGCAGGTCGCACTTAGCCTGCTCGATGGAGACGCCCGCGCCTGGGCCACTCCCTACTTCGCCCAGCTCGAATCGGTGCAGATAGGAGCACAAGGGGCCACAACCCCATTCGTGAACGAAGCGGCCTTTGCCGCCGCCTTCAGGGCCCGCTTCGGAAATCTCGACGACAAGGCGGCAGCACAAGTAGAGCTGGCGAAGCTCTGCGCGGACAAGTCGGTCCGTGAAAAACGCACCGCTGCGGAGTTCTCTGCACTGTTCAAGGGTCCGGCGGATCGCTCTGGGTATGGAGACCTGGAGCTACGCGACAAGTACCTGAGCGGCATCCCCTCCCGCGTCTACCGGAAGATCGAGCTCGAGACCTTCACCACGTGGCAAGCAGCTGAGAAGCGCGCCACTGAGGTCGAGCAGATCCTCGACATCAGCCGGGCCCGTCGGCCCGAGCTAAATAACTTCTTCTCGGCCCGAGGTCGAGGGCGCGGAGGGGCACGTGGTGGTGCACCCCAGTCACATGCAGCTTCGGCCAGCATCAATGCGGCCGTCGGAAAAGGCAACTTCCCCGGCACATGCTTCGGCTGTGGGAAGCAAGGGTACCGACGATTCGAGTGCCCTAATTGTAAGGACAAGCCTTACACAAAACGCGCCGATGCGCGGGCTACGGTTGCCTCGGGCTCCACCCAGGCTGCGACAAGCGCCCCCATCACGACAACACCCTCGGCAAGTATAAGTGCCGCTTCAGCGAAATCCGAGCAATCGGAGCTGGCGGACTTAATGGCACAGGTGAAGTCGATGCGCGAGGAGCTCGAACCCTATCGGGCGATGAAGGAGGAGGGTTTTTGATCCAGTCCGCGCTTCGTGCCGCACACGTCGGGCCGCATATACCCTGTAACAAGTACGATGTATTGTCTACTGCAATGGTGTATGAATTGGACCAGGGGTCCCAGCATTTTCACATCCCAGTACGACTTCAAGGAAAAGGACAGCATAAAGACATAATCGCTATGGTGGACAGCGGAGCCACCACGAAGTTTATCAACAAGCGATTCATAGTAGAGAATAAGGTGCAGACGCGGAAGTTGAAGGAACCAATTCCGCTGTACAATATTGACGGCACCCTGAACAAGGACAGAAGCATCTCGGAGGTAGCAGTACTACAGATGCATATAGGGGAGCACGTCGAGAAGACGGTGTTCACGGTCATGGACATCGGTCCAGAAGATGTGATCGTCGGGTTGGATTGGCTACGCGAGCACAACCCTGAGATCGATTGGGAGAAGGGCTCCCTCAAATTGTCACGATGTCCTGACACGTGCAGTGCCAGAAGGGCTGGCCGAATGGAGCAAGCTGCGACTGCACGTGATACGGGGGTCAGGCCCACGGCGCGCAGGCGTTCGCCGAAGTCCAAACGGTCAGTCATAGGCGCTTGCCGGAGCAAGGTGCTCCCGGACTTCAAACCCGAAGATGATCCGGTGAAGGTAGAGTGGAACGAAGCTGACTTGATCGAGGCCTGGGAGCAAGGTATTACGCTTCCGGGCGCTCCTCAACTGTTTGTTGCAGCCGGGCATACATACTCCCAGCTGTTCGCTGAGGAAGAGATCAAAAAGAAGGTTGTTAAGACCGCCGAGGAGTCGGTGCCCAAGCAGTACCACGAGTTCCTGAATGTCTTCTCCAAGGAAGCATCAGAACGGCTACCCGAAAGGAAGCCTTACAATCACGCGATCAAACTCGTGCCCAGCTACTCGACCTTCCACTCTAAGGTGTACCCCTTGTCGAACAACGAGCAGGAGGAACTAGACAAGTTTCTAAAAGAGCAACTAGCGAAGGGCTATATATGGGAGTCAAAGTTGCCCATTTCGTCCCCCTTCTTCATCATCAAAAAGAAGGAAGGGATGCTTCGACCCGTACAGGACTTGTCGCGACTTGGGGTCAAGCGACAGGAGAAAACCTAAAAGCTGGGGGCGTTCGACTGGTTCTTACCGAAGCGATGGTGAGCTAGGCTCGAACCTAAGGCTAGGGACAAGATAATATATTAGTTAAGTAAGAAGGGAGAATACAACTGGGGCTTACTGACCTAGGGACAAGAGGTCAAAACTGAGGTCCCTCGGGCAGCAGAGGCCGGCTTATATACAGGGGAGGTTAAGGGCAGGCTGTGCGCGTTGGTCCGTGCACAGCTGGTCCGTGCACAGCATGCCGACACGGCCCCAGGGGCCGGTGAGTCAGAGCGGCTGTGTCAGCGGAGCCTGAGCTGTGCCGCGCACTGCCACCCATCTAATCTAATCGTACAGTAGATAACGATGCGTCCATATCAGGCAGGTGGTACAGAGGTCGCGGGTTCGAGCCCGCGAAAAGGAAAAAATTAAAAAACGGCTAGGCGCCGTACCAACTCGTGACAGGACTACTGCCGATTGAACGCGATCACGGTCAAAAATCGTTATCCCTTGCCATTGATCGCCGAGATGGTGGATAAGCTCCGCGGCGCTACGCTGTTCACAAAGTTCGACGTCCGATGGGGATATAACAACGTCCGGATCAAGGCCAGTGACGAATGGAAGGCGGCCTTTGTGACTAACCGAGGGTTGTACGAGCCTTTGGTGATGTTCTTTGGTCTCACCAACTCCCCTGCGACTTTCCAGGCAATGATGAACGAGATCTTCCACGATCTCATCGTCAGCGGCAAGATCCTTGTGTACCTGGACGATATACTCATCTTCTCCACCAATAAAGAGGAGCATGAGAAGGTCACACGCGAGGTTCTGCGCCGCCTTTAGGATAATGATCTATTCCTGAAGCCTGAGAAATGCGAGTGGGACATTTCCAAGGTCGACTACGTCGGCTATGTGTTCAGTGGCGATGAGGTGGCGATGGATCCAGCAAAGCTGAAAGGAATTAATGAGTGGCCGGTACCCCGGAACAAAAAAGACGTTCAGAAGTTCCGGGGGTTCTCCAATTTCTACCGCCACTTCATTAAGGACTTCGCTAAGATCTCGCGACCACTCGACCGGCTCACAGGGAACGACCCATGGCATTGGGGCGAGGAAGAGCAGCACGCCTTCGATGAGCTCAAGCGGCTCTTTGCGACGACTCCAGTCTTGGCACTGTATGATCCTAATTGGGAGACGCGCATTGAGGTTGATGCCTCAGGCTATGCCACGGGTGGCGTATTGATGCAGAAGCAAGATGACGGCAAATGGCATCCCATCGCCTTCAGATCCCATGCGATGGATCCGGCGCAGCGGAACTACGAGATCTACGATAAGGAGATGCTCGCAATCATTGAGGCGCTAGATGATTGGTGCCACTATCCCGAGGGGTTACCCAATCAGTTCGAGATCGTAACCGATCATAAGAACCTCGAGTACTGGCGTACATCCCAGCATCTCACGCGTCGTCAAGTGCGATGGTCGCTATTTCTGGCTCGTTTTGACTTTTGCATCACGCACAAAGCCAGGACATCCAATGGAAAGGCTGATGCCCTGTCGCGCCGATCAGACCATCAGATCGGCGATGAGGACGATAACACCGATCAGGTGGTTCTCAAGCCAGAGTGC